GTAAGTTACAGAGCAGAGTTATCTAGATAGAGTCCTAATTTATTGAACCTCTAGAGAACTTTCTCTATCGAGGAGTAGACTCCAGGTAGGAGTCTTGTCGATCTGAACATTCATCAATATCCCCTCGCAAACTCAACAGGGTGGATAGCAGCACATTGAGCTTGGATTGAAGAAAAGAGAAATGTGGATTGGACAGAGCTTTTTGTAAACACATCAGCCAGTTGGTCTTGAGAGGAAATGTGTTGGACACGTAGGTGTTTGCTAGCAACACGTTCTCGAACAAAGTTGTAGTCAATGGCTAGGTGCTTGGTGCGAGTATGATAGATGGGATTCGTAGTCAAGTATGTAGAACCAATATTGTCACAAAACAACACCAGGGGTGTTTCGAGACAAAAACCAAGCTCTGTTAAAAGTGATTGCAACCAAATCAACTCAGTTGTAGTGTCTGCAAGTGACCTGAATTCTGATTTTGTACTAGAGCGAGCAGTGGTGCACTGCTTACGAGAACACCAAGAAACAAGATGTGGGTCCAGATAAATAGTGTAGCCACCAGTGGAGCGCCGATCATCTGGGCAGCCAGCCCAATCGGCATTTGTATAGGCAGTAAGAGAGACATCTTTGCTAGGTTTAAACCACAAGCCAACATCTAGAGTATGTTTGAGATATCAAAGAATGCGTTTGGCCGCAATAAGGTGATCTTCAGTGGGGCACTGCATGTATTGGCAGACACGATTCACAGCAAAGGATATATCAGGTCATGTCAAAGTAATGTATTGTAGGGCACCAACTAAACTTCGATAAGGTGTTGGATCTGCTAGGGGCTTGCCACTAGATTTGGAGAGAGAGGAAGAAGGCGCTAGTGGAGAAGCGACTAGTTTTGTATCGTCCAGATTGGTGCGCTTCAGCAAGTCATAGATGTACTTACGGTGAGAAAGAACCACACCTTTGGAAGAACAAGATACCTCCATCCCCAAAAAATAGTGTGCAACACCAAGATCTTTAATAGCAAACTCTTTAGCTAGCGAGTGCAAGAGAGCAAAGATGGCAGAAGAACTGTTCCCAATTAATAAGATATCATCAACATATATAAGCAGAAGAAGTAGAACACCATCCTTTCTATAGAAGAACAATGAAGGATCCGCAGTAGCCCCACAAAACCCAAGGGATTGTAAAAATGAAGCAAGACGATGAAACCAATCTCATGGAGCTTGTTTCAATCCATAAAGAGCCTTATGTAATTGACAAACATGTGTAGGATGATGAGAGTCAACAAAACCTTGTGGTTATTCCATAAAGACTTCCTCTTGTAATTGGCCATGAAGGAAAGCATTGTGTACATCAAGTTGTCGAATGGGCCAGTTGTGCATAACTTCAAGAGAAAGAACACTACGTATGGTGGTGTGACGGACCACAGGGCTGAAAATATCATCAAGTCAACCCCTGGGCACTGAGTATAGCCACAGGCCACAAGGCGGGCTTTGTAGTGCTCAATAGAGCCATCAACTCGGCGTTTGAGTTTATAAATCCACTTGGAGGAGACAACATTCATATCAAGTCGAGATAGTACAAGAGACCATGTACTATTGCGCATTAAAGCATCAAATTCTTTAGACATGGCGTGACACCAAGGCTCACTTTTAACAGCCATAGAGAAGGACGTGGGTTCGATCACACTATCTGAAAGATGAGCAACAAGAGCAGCAGGAATAGGATACTTCGTAGCAATGGAAGCATGAGAATTATGAGACCGAGACTGTGATTGTGTCACCATAGAGTGTGTTCGTGTAGTGGGCTGCTACAAATTGGAAGTATCACGGGGACCATGTTGGATAATATCATGCAATGAGTGAATCCTTTGAGGTGGAGAATTAGAGTCGGATGGTGAGACCGGCTAAGGGAAGGTCGTTGATGTAAGCGAGGCAGCACAAGCAGGTGATGGTGAAACTGCAACAATGTTATCATGCTCATCTGATTGCAAGAACGTAAAAGAGCCATGAGAGTGACCACTTGATGTCATCGTTGGTGAAGTTAAGACTGGTCCTTGGGGAGGTGTAAAAGGATAAACAATGGGTTGGGAGGACTGGTTGGTAGTTGGAGCGACGATGGGTGAAGGTCTAGCAAAAGGAAAAAGAGTTTCATCAAAGACAACATCCATAGAAATATATACCCGACCTGTGGGATGATGAAAACACCTATACCCTTTGTGTCGAGGACTGTACCCGAGAAAAATGCATTGAGAGGAATGATTATCAAATTTATGGCAATTATAAGGGCGAAGAAAAGGGTAATATGCACAACCAAAGGTTTTGAGGAATGTGTAGTCAAGGGTTCGTTGAAAAAGAATTTCAAAGGGGAACTTAAGATCAAGGAGAGGAGTGATAAGACGATTAATCAAGAATGTAACAGTGTAGGCAGCTTCATCCCAAAAGTGAAAAGGGAGAGAGGCTTGTTTGAGAAGAGCAAGCGCCATTTCAATAATGTGACGTGTCGCCTCTCAACAGAACCATTTTGAGAATGATTGTGAGGACAGGTGACACGATGGGTGATGCCAAAATGGTCTAAGTAGCCAAGAAAGAAACGGTATTCACCATCCCAATCCGATTGAAGACTCTTTATTTTGCAAGAAAATTGGTTTTCAACATGTGATTTGAAACACAAAAATATATCAATAGCATCGGATTTATGCACCATAGGAAAAACCCAAGAGAATTTGGAATAATCATCAACAAAAACTATATAGAAACGATTTCCATTATGAGAAGTAATGGGGGCAGGGCTCCAAACATCATAATAAACTAGTTCTAATGGGGATGAGGAAACAGACTCAGACTTTTTATGTGGTAACCTATGACTCTTTGCAGCTTAACAGACTTCACAAATAGAACTAGAAAATCTATTGGAGTAAACTGGAAGACCAAACTTAGAAACAATGTTTTGAACAGTAGGAAGAGAAGGGTGACCCAGCCGTGCATGCCAACCATCCACAGTAGTACGTTCTCCCAAAACGGCTGATGGATTTTCTATTGGAAATTGATAAAGCCCATTTTTACTAGGTCTTCCCTGTGGACCAATTTGAAACAGATAATGAATTGAAAGGCCTACTGCCGATTGTGGCAGTCTAATATATTTATATATGAAGAGTCTTAATTACAGTAGGAGAAGGTAAGTTACAGAGCAGACTTATCTAGACAGAGTCCTAATCTATTGAACCTCCAGAGAACTTTCTCTATCGAGGAGTAGACTCCAGGTAGGAGTCTTCTTGTCGATCTGAACATTCACCAATATAAATGATGACAACAAAAACGACAGAACTTTGTAAATGCTCAAATCATCTCTACGTCTCATCTTGCTTGCAAACTGTTATAGGCCACAACTGTTTTTATGGACATCGTGTTACTGAAATTAAACAATAAATGACACGAAGTTAGAATATAATAGAACTTTATTTTCCTATCGACATTATTGGAACAAATTAAAACTTAAAGAACCTTATAAATGGAAAATTGGAAATGGTAATTCGGCTGTTGATCTTGGCTTCCCAAGGACCCAAATACACAGATCACAAGTAAAAACGAAAAAGAAATTGAAGAACACATATAGGAAATAGCTAGCTAGGAATACGACAAGGGAGAGGATGCATGAGGAGAAACATATATATCCATTAATTGTACTGATGAACAGAGTGAAATTAACAAGTAGTACTCGACTGTGTATCAAGTACTACTCATTGCTTTGCTCATGTGAGCTAGTCATCCAATGGCAGAAATTCATGAAATAAAAACCCAAAAGACTTCCAAATTCCAAAATTTCCAGCAGTAAAACTCCTAGTCCTTAGCTTCTTTAGGTAGCTCCGCATTTCACGAGAAGAGCAGGCCTAATTTGGGTCATATATATGTGGCTTTTGAAGAACAACGAACTTTGTTATTTATCTGTAATGTTTTGGCTTTCTCCAGTCTCCAACGATCCAACTAGCTAGGAAACTTCACCAGAAAAAAAAAAAGAAAAAACTAGCTAGGAAACAAATTAAAAGAGGAAATAAACTAAAAGGGCTCAAAGATTGAAAAAAGAAAAAAAAACTGATCAACTGATCTTATAATAATTTAAACTGATGATCATCAGAATATATATATATATATATATATGGTAAAAAGAAGGATGATGAGACGGGCAAGGTGTTGGGGAGGGCAGGAGGGGACTGGAGCTGGAGCTGGAGCTGGGGGGCTGTCCCTGTCCCTTTGCCTGCACAGGCATTCAATGACTTTTGGCGATACTAAGGAGATAAGATGCTCCCATGCATATGCATTCAAATCGATCTAACCCATCTCTCTAATCTGCACAATCCCCTAAAATTCCTCTCTCCATGATTCCAAAGCCCATTCATTGCACAGAAAATATTCTATACTCCCCAGAGGGACGTTAGACACGATGGTCCCCCCAGACCACACCCATACAATGACCTTATACCGGGGAAAGGTCGGTCTTCTGCACTGCCACCCCATGAGGTGTCTGATGGGCCGTGCGACTCACACACGGCTAAGGAAAAGCAAAACTGATGACCCAGGTGGGCTACATCACCGATGTGCTCTGATGGGTCTCTGTGAATTGTGCAGTCTACAAATAAATAAATGTCCCAACGTAACTAATCAATCATTCTGAACTTGATTTGGAGATGTGACTAATTGATCGATGAGACCTTCCAGTACTCCAGAGTGCTGACAAGCCCAAAAGCCAGTGGACCAAATTCATGGGTTGTGAACTTGTGATGTGTGGGAGATGCCATTCGCCAATACTCCAAGGTAAGGTAACATCGATCATATCCAGCATGTAAATTATAAGACCCTGTTTTATTATATATTGTGTATAAAAATGGTTGAGACTTGAGAGGGGTCAAATTCTGCAGATAGGGTTCCAAACTAGATTTACCCTTTTGGTTTATCTTTTCTAGCTAATTTGTTTGCTTGGGTGTCATGAAGTCACGTGAATGCCTTCTTGGCCTCTCCCTGCCTCTCAGCTGCTTCCAAAATAGATTTACCTCACTATGGATTATTAGGCCTTTTTAGCCCTTTTCTTCGATCACCTTCGTCCCATCTCCCTACCTATCTCTAATATCTCTTATTCCTTCTTATTTGCTGCTGCCGGACACAGCAAGACACAGTTTGTTGCTTCATCGATCTTTCTCTTCCCCCATGAATCCAATTTATCTGAACCCATCGCCCTCTTTTTTTCCTATAGCTCCTATAGAGCCCAGTGATGATGAGGATCAACACCTTCAATTCTTTCGTCCACCATCTCAAGCTGTAGCTTATTCTCTCTCAAGTTCTATTTTCTCCAATTCATCAGCTCAGGAAGGAGGAGGTCATGATAGAGAACGACAAGAGGTGAGCCCAAAAGGGTTTGTGCGTGATCTAATTCAATTAATTGTTTAGCTTATGACCATGTGATCTGATCCATGTATACTTATCTCCTTTGTTGATATTAGGCCGTTAATGGCGGACCAAGTGATCATCAATACTTCCCAGACGACCCCCCACCTCCTACTGTGGAGGACGACATCAACAGTGGCCTCGAGTTATCCAACTCTAAACAACGAGAGAACCGAGGTGGCAGCCAGGGAAATATGGGTTCAGTTAGGTGGATGTCTTCGAAGATGAGGCTGATGAGGAAGATGAAGAATTCAGATCGAGTGGGTATGGATAAACCAGTGAATACGAATATGCACAAGTTTCAGCAGGATCATCATCATCGGTCACCATCACCATGGGAGATGGACACTAGCAGCAACAGTTCCTCCAACAACGCTAACAACACCGTCAGGGTCTGCTCGGACTGTAACACAACCAAGACCCCTCTTTGGAGGAGTGGCCCTAGAGGACCCAAGGTAATTCACTCTCATCTCTTATTTGATTCCTTTGGATCAGAATACCGCCATTTTCCTCATCTTTCCCATCATCTCTGGTGCAGTCACTTTGCAACGCCTGCGGGATCCGGCAACGTAAAGCCAGACGGGCCATGGCGGCAGCGAACGGAACACTGCTTCCCACTGAAGCATCATCCATGAAGAATAAAGTGCACCACAAGGAAAAGAGATCATCAGAAACTGGATACGTCCAGCAATACAAGAAACGTTGCAAACTGGCCACCTCTCCTCGCAGCATGAAGAAGGTTTGTTTCGAGGACTTCACCATAAACTTGAGCAAGAACTCGTCTTTTCATAGAGTATTCCCACAAGACGAGAAGGAAGCGGCGATCCTGCTAATGGCTCTATCTTGTGGTCTCGTTCATGGTTGAATATCTTCTGCCCTTCTTGGTCTTCCTTTTTTTTTCCTTCTTGGGTTTAGTTTTGATTAACTGTTTAGAGCTTGGTTTGTGTTAGCTAGCTACAGCAGAGCAAACTTGTGTGGAATGATTACGAGAGTATTGTGATTGTGAGGGCTAGAGTGAGCATAAAAATCAGGTGAGGTACCAAAAGCTAATAAAAACGTAAATAAAGCTTTGATTTAATCTGTTGATAGTTTTAGTTTATGGCTGTTGTCTGATTCTCTCCTGTCAGCAATTTGAATATTTAGTTTCTCAGCCACAAGGCCCACAACTTTCTTGCTTTCCTATACTTTCTCTTTTTCTCTTTTTTTTCCTTGTTCTTTGTTCTTCCCCTTTTATTTATCATTTTTAGTCAGGGTTATCCATTCTCATGAATAAAAGGACGTAAAAGGGAGCAAAGTTAGAGAATTTTCATGTTAAGTAGACGAAAAAAACAGTGTTCTAAATTAACTGTTCAAGTTCTGAAACACCTGCCAAGTCCCAATTAATACAAAAGACGGGCCAATAAAACAACCCCACATCCTAGATTTTCGAACAAATTAAAGGAGTCACTGAGCATTCAATTACGTGTTCAGCTGGTTGCATGTTCATGACAGTATTATACAATCTGATCAGTGGAAAAAACCAACTGGATCAACACAGTCTCTGGATATCTTTACAGTCTGCTAGCTGCTTGCGTTTTCAGTCGAAATGGGTACACTAGGGCTTTAATCATGGCGAGGGTGGAGCCGAAATGGAAAGTAGTGTATGTATAACAGTATAAGCTCTCTCTTCTTCATCAACTTTATTGGATCCTCATCACCCCAGAGCTTCTGTGCATACAAGTACAAAGGTAGGAACCATAAGTACCTTAAGCCTCTCTTTTTTTGGTCAATGGAAGCTATCAACTCCAGAGTCAGGAACCATATTTGTGGTTCGTATTGTATTTCCACCAATAAGAAAATTTATTTCTGGTGAATGCCAAGAAGATAGCCAAGTGTCCTTACTCTAGCATCTGAAAATATGCCGGTGAATGAAGTACTGTTGAAGCTAAAAGAATCCACATACGCTACTACATACAGCTTTTGATTTCTGTGGAAAAATTAAATTATGTGCTTGGCGCATGCAGCAGGAAGGTATCCTTCTTCCTTTTTTTAAATTGGTACATAAAATGTATGTTAGGCTATGTTTATTCTAGCACAATATGCTTCTTTCTAATCAAATTCGTTCAACACTTCCATTTACATTAATTTACTCAATAAAAACTCCCTTGACGTTTCTCTAAATACTAAAATTTCCCTCTTTTTAAAAATTGCATCAGCCTTAACGGAGGAGTTAAAGCTCAGTTTGGAAGGTTCAGTTTGGAAAGAATACAAATATAAATATGTACAGTATAAATATATATAAAATAATACAAAATACAAGGTTTTGCATTCTACATATTTGTATTTATATTCCTTTCAAATTGAGTCTAAAAAAACAACTATACCTTTTTATGGGTTGAATAGTTTTCAATAAGGTTTTTAAAATTGAATCGGACAACCAACCGGTCAAGGGTCCGATTCCTGGGTTGAATGGTCCGACTGTTTGAACCAAATTGATGTCTCATTCTAACAAAAAAATAAAAATAAAAAACAGCCAAAACCACTGGACAGTTTGAACACCCGGACCAGCGGTTTATTGACCAAATCAACGGTTTTTAGCAAAATAATGATTCTGGGGTAAAATGAAATCAATCACCTAACCGGTTCTCGATTTTTCTGATCCAATCATCCTGTCCAATCCGGTTTTGAAAACCATGGTTTTCAATCAAATGAAAAAAAAAAAAAATCAGAAGTCGTATTCAGTCTTCCAACAACAGCAACCTCCGACTCCGTCACTAATCATATATATATAACTGTTGTAACCATTTATGAAGGAGCAGCTCCCATCATCCCTTACCATTGTAATTAAGGTGTGTTTTTCTTCCATCTGAACATTTATACTGGTTATCTCTTACTGCATGTTGCAAGAATATTAGAATCACCTACACAAGCCGTCATATGTGCACTTTTCTTCTTTTTTTAGGAAGAAATATCATTGAATATGAAATTTCAGAATAGAGATAGGATTAGCTGAATACAATGGTCGTTTAAGAGGTTATAGAATCAACTATAACACTCTACACCAGTCATAAAATACAAGGGACGTACAATTCACAATCATTTAGGCCCCGTTTGGTTCGGGGGAATAGGGGTCTGGAATCAGAATCAGAATGGGCTATTCCAATTCCAACTGTTTGGCTGGGCGGAATTGGAATCCTATTCCTATTCATGCTGATTTTAATTCTCATTCCCATTCTTATCTGAACCAAACAGACTATGGGAATGAACTATTCCGATTCCAATTCCAACTACAGACCAAACAGACCCTAAATCTCTCACTTGAATTTATGACTGCCATGGGACATATCATTGGTTCCACAGCCTGCTGTACAATCATTGCATTCAACAAACCCGAATTATTCAAAATACAAAAGGAATTCGAAATATCTAAGTTACAGATCGACGATCAATTGCAGATTTTGGCAACCAATAAATTAATGGCATGTCCAATTTGGTGACCAACATGAAGCATCCTAATCCCCATTCCTCACCAATTTATGCTTCATACAGATTATAGCATCTGTGTGGTGATCATAATCCCTTGAATATGAGCACAATCTTCTACAACTTGAATCAGAACTGCATGAGCAGTCTGAATCTCTATAGATATCTCCTTCCCAATCATACCCACAATCACTGTGATCATGAGACAACCTCATGATCTCTCAAATACTATTCTCACTCCTCAAATTGTTTCCTTTAAGTCACAACATGAAGAAAACACATGGTTTAATTTGCAACACAAACCATCAAACAACTACAACTCTCAACACCGTTGAGTTTAGACAATCATCTATTGTCGATGGTGATGAAATCCTCTCCATACGACTTAGGGAGAAGAGACCTTAATTGTTGCATTGATTTAGATTGCAAACCCCTCTTTCCTCTAAATTCTCAATTTTCTTCAATTAGATTAAGATGGTAAACACCAGGAGGTCTCTCAACTACCCATTTAGGTCCTCGTTGTGGGATGAACATTTGGCTTTGTCACAAAATGTGAAGGTAAGTACGAAGGTATCTAAATTCAACAAATTGCACATTAATGTATTGGTTGGGCCTCAAATTGGGTTAAGGGACTATAAAGGAGCCAATTTGGGTTTTTAAAAATTTCAACTTCAAATGATGTCACATGCAAATGGGTCTTGATGGATTGCTAACTGAGGGGAGGGAGTCGGGATCTCCTACCCACAAGAACTCTGCCCACGCCTACCCACAATACACTACCCCCCGTGAATTGGGAACATCTCCCCCTATATAATACTATGTAGAGGATGAGATGTTCTCCATGTATGGCTGCGATAAATGTGGGCAGAGTTTTCGTGGGTAGGAGATCCGAACTCGAGGGGAGGTCTCTCTCCAATGATGTCACCTGATAAGGGAGGTTTTAGTCCATTTTAAAAAGAGGGGAGGTTCCGGCATTTATGAGAAACATCAAGAGAGGTTTAGGTCTTTTACCCCAAAAATTTTCATTGTAAAGATTAAATATAGAGGTGTCAATTGGACGAATTTGGTCCAACCAGATCCAATCCAATGTGAGTCCACTTATAAATGGACTGGACCCAATCCAGTCCAAATTCAATACAAACTAAATCCAATCCAATCCATTAAAAAGTAAATGGATTGGATTATTGGATTGGATTGGATCCAATCCAAACCGAATAAAATATCAAAAATTATATAAAAGCATTTTTAGCATTGAAAAAACACTTTTATAAAAGTACTTTGATAAAAATATTTTCATAAAAGTGCTTTTACAAAAGCACTTTATTGAAAGTACTTCAGTACTTCAGAAAAGTGCTTTTGTAAAAGTACTTTTCGAAAAGTACTTCCATAGACTTTTACAAAGGTACTTTCGTAAAAGTTCTTTCATAAAAGTGATTTTCTAAAAGTGCTTTCGTAAAAGTGCTTCTATAAATGTACTTCTATAAAGGTGCTTTCATAAAAGTAATTTTGTAAAGTACTTTCGTAAAAGTACTTTTGTAAAAGTGCTTTTATTAAAGTGATTTTGTAAAAGTGCTTTTATAAAACTACTTCTGTAAAAGTTCTTTCATAAAAGTACTTTTTGTAAAAATGCTTTCGTTAAAGTATTTTTATATAAGTGCTTTCGTAAAAGTACTTTTCATAAAATTACTTTTATAAAAGTACTTTTCATAAAAGTGATTTTATGTTGTTTTCAGTTTTGATTGATTTCAAATTGGACAAGGGTTTAGCCTCATGATCGGATTATTGAAAATTTGGTTTACGTCTAATTCAAACCAATAAGAATACAGATCAATTTATTTTGGATTAGCCCAATCCAATAATTATAATGGACCATCCAAATCCGATTTGATAAGGTTTGGATCGGATTGAATCCAAACCAAAACCGGTCAATTGACACCCCTAATATAAATAAGCAATTGTGGCTAGTTCTCCTATAAGCCATTTGAAAATATATGTACTACTACATTGGAGGTTTAGGGCATCTTATATATTGATATTTTACTCTCCCCATTTCATTTTTAATCTAATTTTATTTGCTCATCATTTAAATAAATCATAAAAAAGTTATATATATATATATATATATATATATTATTTCTTCACCACATGGTCGTGGCGAGTAGGGGTGATCGTGGGCCAGGCTTTGCACTTATGATAAGGGCTATAGTTTAGGTCCGCGCCTAAAACATAAGCCTTAGCCCAGGTCTATATGGCCCTTAGCCAGGCTGGGCCTAATTCTAGGCCAATGTCTTTCATATATATAAAACCTTACATATCTATAATATTTTATATTAAATGACATAACATGCATATAAACTTATTTTATACATTATATAATATAAAATATTATATATAATATAAATTATACATACCATATTATAATATTTATATAAAATATATAATATAATATAAAATAATTTATATACATTATACACAAAATATGTAAATTTAAATATATGCGGGCCGGACTAGGCACAGGCTGGGCCTGAACAGAAAACCCAGGACCAAACCAGGAATTTTCAGGCTGGGCCTGTACAGGGCGGGCTGAGCTGAAATGATCACCCCCCTAGTGGCGAGTAAGGATTAGCTGAGTGCAATAGCAATTCAGTTGGCTGTGGCCTGCTGAACAGCTATTGCGCTAAACCGAATTTGATCTGCTACAAATAAAATGAGCTACATAACCCAATCAAGAATAAGCACATCAGTCATTCATACAGGCACCAGTTGTACTTGGTCCATTTTGTGAGCTTCCCTAAACAATCAAGTCTTAAATGTGTCAAACTAGTTGACAAATAAAAAGGAGTATCCAATTAAGCTCCTTTCCTATCTTGTATAAGGATTTTTTTTTTTCTCAGCTCAAAACACCTTGCCAGTTGCCACATCCACATGTGAAAATAACATAGTTTTATAATATATAAATTTTATATTGAAAAGTAAAAAACTTTAAAACGGTAACTATAATTGTGATCAGAAATCATGATATATCTCTGATGTGGAATGCGAGGTTGAAGATACGGCCGATCAGTGGGTTCCTTATTTGATGGACGGTCTCTATGGGCAGAAAGGCTATCCCTCTATGTGGCAGAGATAGGTCAATTTGTGTAAAAAAGATTGAAAAAGTTTGACTTTGTTTCAACATCCTGTTCTGCTGTCTACTAGGATCGATCTCTGCGTGTTATACAATAATCCATAACAACTCCATGCAGTAATGAAGTTAGGGCTGAATCAAAAAATTTTTACTCCTTCGTGAAATAGACTTTTCATGTTGAATGACAAGGCCATATCTTAGAGTGTAAATTGGACTGGATTTGGTAGTCTAATATGAATCCATTATAGATGGTCAGATCCAATCTAATCCAATGGATATTTTAGAGTCAATGGATTCTAAATTGGTCCATTGACACCTGTATTTTTATCTTTTATGAATGGACTGGATATTGATTCAATTGGACCCAATCCAAAATAAATCTATTACCGATGGACCAGGTCCAAGTCAATCCAATAAATACTTTTTGGACCATTAAGTTCGGATTGTTTCAATTCTGTCTTATTGGTCCATCCAATTTATCTAAATTGATTTTGATTTGGATGGAGTTTAAGTAAGTGTTCAACCTAAAATTGGTCTATTGACATCCTTAACCATACCTCTTTTTTTTGAACAAAATGAATGTTAGATGTAGGGGTGTTCAAATTTGGCTGCTGAATTGAAAGGAAATCAAATAAACTAATTCGGTTTTGTTTATTTGATATTGGTTCAGTTTGTTTTGAGAAAATTTCTCAACCGAACCGAATTGAACAAGGCGCTTTAATTTTCACCAAAAAGCTCATTTATAAAACGTTGGAATTTTGGGCTTATTGTTTATTCCACTTTGGAGAAACGTTTTTATTAAAAAAAAAAACAATTAAAAAGACACTTCCAAACGCTCATAAACTACTTATTTAATAATTATTTATTTGAAAAGTCCATTTAAAAATAATAAGCACCCCCAAACGCCACCGAAGTAAAGCTCTGGCGCCTTTTCCGATGGTACCAACCGGTTCACTTGGTAAATTCTGGCTGGTTGTGGGGAGACTTTGGGACCATAGCTGAGAGTTGGGTTTTTTATCTTTTGGCATTTGGCACCACTCCAGGTGCTTTGAAATGAGTTCCATGCGATTCCAGTCCGAATGGAATTGGAATGATCTATTTTCATAGTATATTTAATTCGCATAAGAATCGAAATGGGAATTAAATGGATCTTATTCAAAGGGTGGGAGGCCAAGAATGAAAATGGAATTTCAATTTCAATGGAGAATACGATTCCAACAAGAATGAAAATGGAATTTCAATTCCACTCAACTAAATAATTAAAATTAAAATGGACCATTCCGATTGTCATTCTATACCTATATTTCTGCATATCAAATGGGCCATAACTACCTACAAACCCAATCACATACTATGCATGCCAATCTTCTAATAGTTATTTAGTTAATGGAAAGGTAATTAGGAGGGCTGAAATAGAAGATTGAAGTGCAAAACATAAAGGGATCGTTTGGGAGGGCTTAACTGAAGCTGAAGCTAGGTTTAGCAGCTTTATTTGAAGCACTCCAAATATTAAAACCGACTGCCCTGGTCGGATGGTCGAACCGTCGATCCGAAAACGGTGGCCGGATCGTTTTTCAAAACCATGAGTGATGATATGGCTCTTTCCTGTTCCCGGCTAGTTAAGGTTTTAGGCTTTTAGGTTCGTTGTTCGTCTTCGGCCAAAAAACTGAGAAAAAGGAAAATTCCCTTCTCTACTTAGCAACAGGTCTTCTGCTAGCAAAGTTCCAATTGTCTCTGTTGTTTCTACGGCGACTGCTAGAAGCACATGAGCCGCTACGACAACCGGACCGGCGACCCGGGTTCGTACCGTGATCGGAGAAGGTCAGTATTTCCAATTTCCACCTCCTTCGACAAGGAAATTGAGGCAACTTTTTCTTCTTTCTTTCTTTCTTGTTAATTCTTTCGTATTTCTTCTCATTTGCTTTTGATTTTTAGCGATTCGGGTTTCGGAAGCGGTGGAGGTGGCAGCGGAGCTGCGAGTTACGGAATCAGCGGTCGTTCATCATCGTCGAGCAGGAGAGAATACGACGGCGGCGGTTCCCCAAAGAATCACGACTTGGATGGGTTGCCCCATTTCGAAAAAAACTTTTATATCGAGTCTCCTTCTGTGGCGGCGATGACCGAGAGTGAAGTCGAGGAATACCGCCAGCGGAGACAGATTACCGTTGAGGGTCGAGACGTTCCCAACCCAGTACGGGAATTTCGCGAGGCTGGGTTCCCAGGTATTTATTTGTTTGTGTGAATAGATATAGGTCCTTTACTTTTCATCTGTTTCAAACTCATTTCTTAATTGCAATCCTGATTCTTCTCTTACGCATTGAGAATGTAATGGTCTGTAGCTTTATGAATTTGAAACTGCTTGAAAATGGGCGTTAAATCTATATCTTAGCTACTGAATACAGCATTTGTTTATAAGATAACACCAACAAAATAGAGATTCCCATATTGGGAGTTTTGTATTACTTATAATAAACTTGAGAGATAGTAGGAATGTAGGATAGAAACTTCATTTTGTATTCTTTATCTTGCTTTAATCTTGACTCTTGTTGTCTAGAGCATTGATGGCTAATGCTTCACTGTTTATGCATTTCCTCTTAACAATTTCTTCAATTTCTTAAAGTTTTGTGGAATTTAAACTTAGGTACAAATTAATAACTGGAATAGTTACGCTCTACATGGTTGCCTGAAAAACACATAGTTTTCACTTTTTTTTTTCTTCATTTTTTGGAACCTGATCTGAATTTGGAGAACCTAAGCCTTGTGCAACTGTATCTAATTCCTGCTTATTTGGCTCTCCGTAGTATGGTTAGTGGGCGTCATGTGCGCCTTGCACTGTCTCCACCCTACAGTATTTAGTAATACTGACCAACCTTTTAACTACATTTCTGGTGTAAAACCACCTCTCTTCTTTGAGCCAAAGCTGAATTATAGACGCCATACCCGCCCCCCCNAAAAAAAAAAAGAAGAAGAAAAAAGAAAAAAGAAAAATTGCTTATTTATAGTTGCAATTATCTGGTTTGAGAAGGGTTCCCTTTTTCTTGGGGTGGACTTTGTGGCAGGTGAATGGTATGTTGGGGTATGTCTTTTCAAACAAAACTTAGTTCACCAACCCTATTAAGGTGATAAAAGATCAGCATCTAAAGTAGATATATCATATATCCATTGATTACAGTCTTACAGAAGCATTATGATAAGAGAAGGGTAAAGGGCGATTTTGGAGATTTGTAGTAAATATGTGGTTCCAGAGTGTGGAATGGGGACCTTTAAGATGCGGGTTTTATTGGTTTCTTGCTTTTGAGGTTTGATCTCTTTAAATAGGCCAAGCTCTTCAATGGATCACAGGGATAAGGTAGGGTACATCCAGATATACAGATTGGATCTTTTTTTTTTTTTTTGAAGATAAATAAAGAAAAGATTTAATTAAGAATGAGAAAGAAGAGCAGAAGAAGGTGATAAGGAATCACCCACAAATAAAAGACCCTGGCTGCAAACCATCACTTACCCAACCAAACCTCGACACTATCCCCAATAAACCCAGGAAAATTCGGTTATAACACAACCAAAACCCTAACTTAACCTCCTACTTACTTTCCTAGAGACCATAACTGGACAAAACCACCCCACTGCCCCACCGAAGACCCACACACAAGAAACAATTCTCACCCTAAGCCTTCTAACAAATGAATCAAACAACCTCTTTCTTTTTCTTGACAGCTCTTTTATTCTTCTAAGCTCTCTTGTTGATTCCCACCCCAAATAAACCCCCTTTCAATCTATCAAACACCTTTTAAAAATGGCACCAATCTACTAAACTTTTGGTGTCTAAATCTTTTAACCGTGATGGAATGACCCTCACAATTCTTCATTCTCCATGGAATTCACTAATCCTTTCTAGCTCGGAGACTGCATTTTTCTCAGGCACTTGCTCTACCAAGTCAGCTTACTTTTTTGCAAAGGCCTTGCTTTATCTAAAGCCTGTCATTCTTCACCACCTCAGGCCTTGAGTGTCCTTCTCGCTATTCTTCAAAGTCCCACCATAGCTTTCTTCCACTTCCCTAAAGGCTTTCCTCGCAAAATCCTCTCCGCCCAAGTCCGCCCAAGAAGAATAATCCCAATATTTTGCTTACCTCTTCCTCGTTGTTAATAACCTTTTCCATGGCGGATTTCCTTTCAACTTCGTGGATCTCATCCATCGTGATCTCTTCTTCCTCCTCATCGATCTCCAACTTCAAGTCCTCCTCTAGAGGCTTCATTCTGTAACTCCTTTTCCTTTGGTAGACCTTTGCTCTGTTGACCTCATTCCCTTCACTTCCTTCCTCTCTTTTTACCAAAACCACCCTCTTCCTTCTCCCCCGAGCTATTCTCATCACCACTTTCTACCTTCCTCGAACTCCTTTCCTCCACCTTTCCTCTCCTTCCAACCCCTTCATACCTCCCTTCCTTCCGCCTACAAGGATAGAATCAGATCCTTCCAATTATCAGAAAAAAAAAGAAAAACAGATCCTTGATTTTTTCACCAGACTGTTGCAAGCCAATGCCTACGAGCAAGGCCCGTGTTTCACTAGACCCTTCAACTACTTCCCCTTTGCTCTCCTCTTTCTCCACTTTTTGAAGATCCTCTGTTGGAATGTTGTTGACATCCAAACCCTCAACCTCCCATTGAGTTCTAAGCTAAGGAGAAGATGATGGACCAAAAGATTTGTCTATCATCACCCCTTCCTTACTGGTCACATGCTCCTTTAAAAACTCATGTGCCTCCTCAATAACCAAGCTGTTATTCTTATTTCGCCCTATGTCTTGACTGCCCTCAGCAAGTCCTGTGGTTGCTATGTTGAAAAGAAGTTGATTGTTTTGGTGAAAGGTGTTGATATCATGTAAAACCTCATCTTTGCCCTCTCTATCTGTCATTTTTTATATCATTTTGTGTTTTTCTGGATGGGATGATTATTAAAGGATACTTTTCCCACTGCAGAGTATGTCATGCAAGAACTTATTAAGGCTGGCTTTGTTGAACCTACTCCCATTCAATCCCAAGGATGGCCTATGGCTTTAAAGGGTCGTGATCTCATTGGTATTGCAGAAACAGGATCGGGAAAGACGCTTGCCTATTTACTACCTGCTATTGTTCATGTCAATGCCCAGCCATTTCTAGGTTTAAATGCTTATTCCTTATTCCTTTACGTATTTGAGAATGACTTTTGTTTGTTTCTATCATTTGATAATTGTCTTAAATTTTGTATTGCATCCATATTTTCAGCCCCTGGAGATGGACCAATTGTCTTAGTTTTAGCTCCGACACGTGAACTTGCTGTGCAAATACAACAAGAATCCGCTAAGTTTGGGGCGTCATCAAGGATTAAGAATACCTGTATATATGGTGGAGTTCCAAAGGGACCTCAAGTTCGTGATCTTCAAAAAGGTAGGTCCGAGTTATGTTTAAGAAACTCTTGCTAATACATATTCTGGTTCAATCAAAATATCTATTATTTTTTGTGCATCAGTGTATATATTATATAATACATGGGATGGGTCTGGTGGTTGGGTTCTTTAATGGAGTCTAAAGCCATGTTCAGTTCAGTTGCTTATTCTTGCTTATCCTGGATGAGAATGAAATTCCAGAATGAGCTAAATTTGCTGTGAACCAAACATTTTGCCAAAGAATAAATTATAAGAGTACTATTTTGGTCCACATGTGCCATTGTGTAGCATGAATTCATAAAAAACCATGGAATCTTTAGCAAATTGAGACATAATTTTTGTCCCCACTTTTTTCTGCACACAAATTCAAGTTGAAGCATAAATCTTTTGCTGCTGTAAATATCATTCCTTTTTTTCTCCTTGGGTATGATCCTCATTGCCACTGGAATAAGGTCCAGAGCAAGAATTGGTGAACCAAACAGGTCATATAGACCCATTCATATCCAAAATGAGCAAGAATACAGAGGCAGCCTGTGGCAGCAAACTGAATATGGCCTAAATGGACCAAGAATCTTCCACATGGCAATTTTTTTTTTTTTTTGAGAAAAAGGTAAGGTAATATATTAGACGAAAGCAAGAACCAAATATGCACAACAAGGAGCTGTGAGTGCTCAATCAAAAGCTGAACATCAACTAAAAGATTACTCAGTATGCATAGATAGAAAAAAGAGAGAACCAAATCTCCACATGGCAATATTATCTGGGGGGCATAAGGGATCCACATATTCTTCTTTCCACCCTCTCTATTTATGTGGCAAATTATGCTTAAAACTTGGCTGATCCAATATCTCCTATCTGATGGATGGTTTTATGCAACCACAGAATTTTTTCTTGTAGCACAAATAAGTAGGATCATTTATTGAGGCTCTCTGCTCTGCCCAACCGTGAAAGAAGTATACAATTTCGTTATCATGAACTTTGGAGCTAATGATGGAAAATGTTATTCATTCTTTGTCCTTGTATTTAGGTGTTGAAATTGTTATTGCCACACCTGGAAGGCTCATTGATATGTTAGAGTCCCATCATACAAACTTGCGAAGGGTCACTTACCTTGTTTTGGATGAGGCAGATCGTATGTTAGACATGGGTTTTGAGCCTCAGATTAGAAAAATCATTTCTCAGGTGTGCTTATTTTTCCTCTATTTACTTTAGCCATGTAGAATGTCTTGATTACACTTGCTCTATATCCTAATTAGTAGAAAAACTTAGACATTAATGGCTAGTAGTAAGTTTCAACTGCTAGGACATCACGTTATTGATCTTTGTTATTATGTAATGCAATTTTTAAATGTAGTCATCATTATAATCGTTTGAATGCCATTTATTTGGGGTAGGCCAGATGGATATCTGGTTCTTTCAAGATATCCATCTATTTGGGCAGTTCCAGATATTTCAAGATATCCATTTATTTGAGCGGTCCAGATTTCTGGTTCTCCACAAGTTGAAGACAGGCCAATATAAAACATCCTGATTCACTCCCCATCTCTAGCAAGAGAATTTGCTGGCCTTGTAGTGCATGGTAGGCCTTAGTACCATAAAAATGTGAATGAGATGCTCAAAACAGAGAAAATAAAAGAATAATAGAAGGTAAAAAGAGGATGCTCAAGGAGCAGGTTTATGGCTATGAGATCAGCTTAATACACCCCAAAAACAAGTTAAAGAACAAGCTATTTTCTCCAGCTCTTTGGAACAGTAAAAATTTTCTATTCTTCAACAGGTGATTTAAAGGCACTYCCGAGTCCTGAGGTGTGATTAGGTGCAGAGGCTAGGCACAGCCCCTTTACAGTGGTGCATGCCTAGTGCACCCAAGCATGCATCTTTATTTTATTTTTTATTTTTTATTTTTTATGTAGAAGTTAAGAATTTAAGACCCAAGGGCTTGTTTTGGGCTTGCCTCAAGAGACTCAGTACACAGTAGCTCGTAGAACTTAGTGCAATTAGGAAGGAAATAAAGAGATTAGATGTTTCACATGCTTGCATTGTTGAGTGCTTGAATGTGTTATACGTTCTGTTTAACTTTATTTTTACAATTTTACTTTGATTACGTTTTATATGTTATATTTATGTATTTTATTTTGAGCTAATATGCTTTTTAAAACTTTCAGTTTTAGATTTAAATATGCATTTTTAATTAATAATTTTCTATTTTTTTGCATTTTTATACTTTTTTTTTTAGAATTTTGTGACTCACCTTGTGCCTTGGGCACAAAAACGGCCTCGTGCTTCTTTTTTGCACCTTGCACTTTTAAAACATTGCTCTTCAATAAAGATGATTCCAAGAAGCTTTTAATACAAAATTATGGTTCCCTAGTGCCCCATTTGTTTTCAGTGCGTATGTGCAAATGCATGGGAATTGCAAATTCTGATTCATTTTTGCTTGAGGTTGTACTTCATTGTTTGAGATGTAAATGGGTGCAAATGCATGGGAGTGCAAATGATCTCCACTTTATATAGAAGAAAATTAAGGTAGGAGGAAGGTGGTGTCAATTTTGCATCAGTTATTGTGATACAAAACTTGCATTTTCTATGAGTGCAAATGAGACAAAAAGTGCAAATTTTATGTCAGGTAGGGAGTGCAAATCATGGTGTCAAACAAAAATTTAATGGGTGCAAAGATCAGCCAATTCTATAGTTGATGCCTTAGCAAAACAAAGGGCTTACAGAAATCAAATTAAATGACAAGGGTAAGGTAGTAGGGACTACCTATTGTAATGACAGGATGTACATATTGTACACACTTGATCATAATTAATAAATTTTTTTCATTGTTACTCAACAAAAAATAAAAACCATAGTGTCAAACAAACTATGGAAAAACTGAATTAGGTGAAAAATTTGCACACACTTTGGATTTGTACTGCACAAAAAGAGCCTAAAAGAAAACCTACTAACTTGAGATCTCAGCCTTCTAATCTAATTCGATCTAAAGTACAAACTAAACATCTCTAGTAGTTTTCGACATCAGCTTTGTTGGTTGGCTGGTTTATGGGCATATATATTGTTTCCTTTTGAGCAATGGTGAAAAGATTTGTCAATGATAAAAAATGAACCCTGGAGTTAGGGCCCTAGCTGACAAAACACCCACAAACAAGGAACAACAACCAAATACTTGAAAAACCTAGCCTAGAATAGAAGAACTCAACACAACTCTTCTTGGAACCCAATAACCATTACTCTATGGTATGGTTGTAGTGGCAGAAAAATATCATCTTTTTTCTTGGGTGATTATCATCCAAATTATGCTGACATTGATTGGATCTATTATCAAATAAGCCCCATGATCCAGAATGCTTATGTTGTATATTGTAAGGACAAAATTTCACACAACTTAGCAACTAGAACTAGTATTTCTGTGTCTGGTGAATATTCTTCTTCCAGAAGTGGGTAAAAGTGCCTTAGCTTGCTTGTGCTAAGGTTCTCAAGGTGCTATTAGAAACTACTGCTACTGATGACTCTTTCACTTCCAGTATATGTTTCAGATTTCGAGCTGTACTGTGATAAAATAATTTACCTCCTGACCAGTTTTTTCCGTGGATGCCTAACAGGTCCATTTAGGAAATCTGCACTCCTATATTCCAAACATCTTTAGCCGTCTCTGTAAATAGTTGACAAGTTAATACCTTGTCTTCCTTTTTAGTTCAGTTCAGATCCAGGTAAATGTGTCAATGCCATCATCACCATCAAGCATTTTCCACCCAAGTAACGCAGCATGAAGATTTGGCCCCATTTAAGGCCATAGTTAAGATATACATGCCAATGTAATTCCCTTCATCTCTGATGTTGTACCTCTGATAACAATTTAAAAAATGTAGCACCTCTGGTGCTCAGCTTGAATACACACACACACATGCAAACATACAGTGTTATGTGAGTTGATATCCCTGCTTGTAATGTAATCATGTTCTCATAGTTTCAGTTGTTCTGGTGTTATCTTGACACCTACTAAAGCTGTATCTTTTCTTTCTAATTTAATAAAATTTTCTTCTTTACTCTTCAAAAAAAAAAGCGAGTTGATACTCCATTTTCTGAAATATGGCAGTCTTGGATGTCATACCATGACTGCGAATCAGGTAAATTCTGACACCCTGATGCCTGATGCACATGTCCACATTGAAATTCTCTTCAGTTACTATTTTGGAGACTGACTTATTACATGAGCTTCCTTTTATACAAGTGCTGTTATGGTTTGTCTTGCAATAAAGCAAGAGGCTTATGAGATTTGATGAACAACCATCCTTGTGTAATGGTGTGAGCAGTTTATTTTGATTGTAATTTTTATTTTGGTCTTGTGTAATCATGTTTGTGAAATAGCAAAAGCATTTGTCAACCAGTCAGAAGAACAAAGCAAAAGAAATCAAATTCTAAACATACAAACCTGATATGTTGTTTCAGATACAAATTTGACAGTCATCCCCCCTCTCCCTCGTGAAAAAGAAAGGAAAAACTATTCTATTATCCTCATATTCATGGTGCTTAATCCCTTGTTTGTAACAGATTCGCCCAGATCGCCAAACTTTGTACTGGAGTGCTACTTGGCCTAAGGAGGTTGAACAACTTGCCAGGTCATTCCTTTACAATCCATATAAGGTCTAATCTAACACCCTAATCTAGCATAGTAGTATATGGTTATAAGTTATAACCTGGAATTCCTTCTTGAATGTCTTACTAATTAACTAATTGGTTCCTAATTGACTTTGAACAGGTGGTTATTGGTTCTGAAGATCTGACAGCTAATCGTGCAATTCGCCAGATTGTGGAGATTGTCTCAGAGAATCAGAAATATAGCAAGTAGGGCAAAATGCACCTATGTGATTATAAACACCTTGCTGTTTCCACCAATTGGGCTAATGAACTTTTACTGTTTGTGTTGATAATTTCAGATTGGTGAAGCTGCTGGAGGATATCATGGATGGAAGCCGAATTCTTATATTCATGGATACCAAGAAAGGGTGTGACCAGACCACAAGACAGCTTCGTATGGATGGTTGGCCTGCCCTGTCAATCCATGGAGATAAAAGTCAGGCAGAGAGAGATTGGGTCCTCTCAGAATTCAAGGCTGGAAAGAGTCCAATTATGACTGCGACAGATGTTGCAGCTCGTGGTTTGGGTATGTACATTGCTTCCATTAGCTATGGATAGGATCTATACTGGTCTTTACTCGGTTGTGCTTTAATATTTTACATTTTATAGCAATTTATAAACTGTGACATAAATATCTAAAAAAATTATAAACTGTGACATGCATTATTTAGTAACTGATAATGACATTATTTTTTGATAAATAAAATGAAGATTTGTATTAGAGGGAGAGAATCCCTCAAAGGCTTAAATACATGATTGTACCTTGTAGATAGGATCCTCAGAGTGTTAGGCAATCAAACAATGTCCAAAAAAATGAGTGGCAGAAATATGACAGGCTGAGATGGATGAGTAGAAAAACTAGAATGGATAGGATCAGAAATAAAGTCATTCGTTTACCAATAAAAAAATTAAATCATTCAAAGAAACCTAAGGGTAGCTCAAATAGGTGATAGAATGAGAGAAAGTAGACTTGGATGGTTTTGTCGCCTGAAACACCCATAAGAAAAAGTGATCAGTTACAAGTTGAAGGGACTAGAAGGGTTAAGGTTCATATCAAAAAGGACATGAGTCGAAGTGGTAAGAAATTATTTTCATTTTTTTATAGTAAGTAGTAAAAAATGATATAAGCACTCATAATTTAATAATGGGTGTGGCATTAAACAGAATGGAATGACAGAACAGGATTCATGTAGCTGACTCCATAATCCATATAGTTTGGATAGGGCTTAGATGATGATTACAATGAGCATCAGCATGGAGAATTTTCAAAAATGAAGTATCGATATAATGTGGATGGCTCAACTTCAATAAAAACATCTTGCAGCTCTGTATCCAATTAGTTTCTTTGCAAGGGATGAGTTGCTTGTATTATGGAGGCACCCCCAAAATGCCCTTAGGTGCATGCTAGAGGTGGTCATGCGCCTCAAGCCTCATCCCCCCCCCCCCAAAAAAAAAAAAAAAAAAAGAAACACCTTTCAGCTAGTGTTGTGCATCTTCATTCTTCTTATTTTTCTTAATACAAGAAACCTTTAACAAAAAAGAAACAAGAAAAACAAGATGAGATTCTCTTGTTCTTCTTCTTCTTCCTTCTTCCTCCTCCTTTTAAGGAGGGTTACAAATTATGCCTCCTTGTGCTCAGGAGGCTTATGCCTCTTGCATTCTGAACTATGCCTCACGCCTCTAGGTAGTGGGATGCCTCATATCACACCTGTGTTTTAAAAATTGGTACATTTTTCTTTTCCCTGCACACACCACACACCACTCACCTTCTAAAATGGAAATGACAACAATAAAGACAAGTTTTCTGGTTGTGGTGGCAGATGTGAAGGATGTGAAGTATGTGATAAATTATGATTTTCCGGGATCCTTGGAGGATTACGTCCACCGCATCGGTCGAACAGGCAGGGCTGGGGCCAAAGGAACAGCGTATACTTTCTTCACAGCTGCAAATGCCAGATTTGCAAAGGAACTTATTACCATCCTTGAAGAAGCTGGACAAAAAGTTAGTCCTGAACTGGCTGCAATGGGGCGTCGTGCACCTCCTCCTCCTCCAGGTTAGTCTGTTTTCCTTTTGACCAGGTATGCATGTTTCTCTGCATGCACAAAGATAACAACAAAAAGGTAAGCAAAGGACTCAAAAGGTGTTCTGCATGTAGTTGCATCATACATCCTATATCTTGTATTGTTTATCATCTCACCTATCCAGACAATTTGGTCAGTGCAAAGACCCGGTTATTTGAAAACAATGCCAACTAGACTTATTCAATTTGTCTTTTAACATGTTCTTTTTTTTCACATATATAACCTTGGAAAATATGCTTTAATTGGATGTGGGATTGTCTGGTTGGCACTTTTTTGGACTGTGATCCAAAGTTGTTTTTAAATTGGACAAATGATTTGGTGAGCCATATTGTAGGTGATGTATAGTTGGTATACTGTATTTTGCTCTGGTCAAGTTTATAGGTCCTACTCTCTCTCTCTCTCATATATATATATATATCATGAATATAATTGTTGTTGATTTTATTTTTATTTCCAATCAGGTCATGGTGGCTTCCGTGATCGTGGGAGGGGCTTTGGTGGTGGTCGACCATGGAGCTAATATATTAAAAAGAAGGGAACGAATGGCTATGGACCCCAGCCCAAATAGACAGACTCTGGTCGCTGCAATTACGTCATGGAGCTAATATATTAAAAAGTGGTGGGATCCTCAAGTCATGTAGTAGCTTTCCGATATCTCACTACTGGCATAACGAAGGATAAGTTTTAACTGGCTGGGAGTTGGTGCTTGATGTCATCTTGTCATGCCCAACTGAGCTTGGGCAACCAATGTATTGCAGTTTGTAAGATAAAAAACTAGTACACCGCAACTTTTTACGGCTTGACAGCTTATGAAGTAGAAAAAGGGATAACTATAACCAATCAACCCATTTCTTTCTTAATTATGCTACTGTGAGAGTTCAAATGTTGGATTAGTTGGTAAATTTGAATGCCGAGTGATGTGCAATGGAGAAATTGATCTCTGGTTGAGACACCATTTTCCCCGGCGCTTCTTTTTATTTTTATTACCTGCCTATAGTTTCCTTTCCATTTTCTTATGATGTTGTGATCACGGAGACTCCATGTTCAACACTACAAGTGTCTTGAATACATGAACAACATTTTGACAATGAGGGACGGCTCAGAAGTGAAATAGCCAATTACCTTCTCTAGTTGAACATTGCAATTGTAGAATTGCATTGACGAATGACGATTTGCGGTGGTGTTGCTGATTGCGGGAAAACAGCGACATTAAAAAGGAAGCCATTACAAAGTTTGTGTTTGGTAGAGCTTCCGTTTAACTAAACGTTCGCACTTGATTTATCTTCAAAACTGAGAAATGTAATAATGTTGACCCATTTATGACAAGTAGGTGCCATTGGGTACTACATCAGCAAAATAGTGAATAAACGTCTAATTGTTGGGGGAAGCGTTAAAATGAAGTTTTAACCCAACGGTAAATGTGACATGTATATAATAAATCAAGACCAGTTTTTATAAGTATCCATGCGTATAAATTACTATAATGGGCTAAATATTGATTTAGCGATGACACGGCGACGTCTTAATAAACATCTATCACAAAACACCCACAAAACAAAATACATGCAAAGTTTATACTCCAAAGCATTTTGTATGATGCCCTACCAAAATAGCGGTTGTGGTTACAATTTAGCCAATAAGCCCCTGTTTGGGAGTTTATTTGATAAATAGTGCTTAAAGATAAGTGCCTATTCTAATAAACATTCATGAATGTGTGTTTGATGAAAAAAGCAGTTCAGGAGCCTGGAGTAGGGGTGATCATTTCAGTCCAGCCTGGGCCTGGGCTCGGGCTCGCAAAATTTAGGGCTGGGCTTGGACCTAAATTTTTAGGCCTGGCCCGGATATTTATATATGTTATTTAAAAATATTTGATAATTGATGTTTTATATATTAAATAGATATTTGTATGAGATTAAAGATCTTAATCGTACGGTCTTAAATCTTACCAAATTCTAATATAGTATTTAATGAAATATAGAAATTATTAAACCCTAATCTTCTCGGCTCTCTCTCTCACCAATTTCACAAAACCACCGCCGCGCCCAATCTCTCTCTCTCTCTCTCACCAAAAGACGAATCTTCTAGTGATGAACCCACTGATGAAGATAAATCTGAAATTTAAAGTAATTGCAAGTTTTGAGTAAAATTGAAACTATTTTCAATATTTTATTACTTATTTATTTACATTAATTTGAACTATTCTTTCTTAGTTTGCTAATATCTTTTTTATTTCACTTTTTATTTCTAGGAATTGAATGGAAGATAGAGCCCGTTATGGAGATGTTTAAAGTTGTTTTATGGGTATTACATGACAGTTGATGGTTTTTTTTATAGATATTATAGGTTATAGATTGATTTTTTGTTGATAGAATAATTGGTTTGTTAAAATTATCGTTTTTAGCATACTAATGACCAATTGAAACTTATAAATTATAAGATATAATTATTTATTTTTTTTATATTAAAAGCTTTTATATTGATATTAAGTTTAAAGTTTCTTAAGGTTATTATAGTCTCCAAGACAATAAGTGAAAAAAAGTACAATTGTTTAAATTTGAAATTGAAATACAATAATTAGGCCCGGAATCTTGACCCAGCCCGGCCCAGGCTCATGTAGAATTGGGCCCGGGCTTATATTTTTAGGCCCATAATGCGGGCTGAATCGGGCCCGGCCTAACCTAAGCCCGTTGTTATGAAGGCAAAGCCCGGCACGGCCCGGTCCATGATCACCCCTAGCCTGGAGGGTGGAGAACTGGAGATGAAGGTCAGTGCCAGGCCCCAGCCAGCAGCGACGACTGACTGAAGGGTGAAGATTCTGCATGTGCTGGCCCGCCGGTTGTCACGGTTCTGAAATCATAATGGAGCGAAAAAGAAAGAGGTGTGAAGATCAAAAAAGAATTACGGAAGGAAACGGAAGAAGGCCGGAAAGAGAACGATGAGCGATGGTCCAAAACTCTACACCAGTAAGCCTAAGAAAGGTAAAAAGGAAAGAAAGAAAAAATATCAATCTACCTCTACCCTGTCAATTGTCATAAATTCATCACTCTTTTTCACTAATAATTGAGTTTATATAAAATTGATTGATCACTGAGCAGCACAGCTGAAGCAGCATAAGGGCAATCAGTTCTCGACACCTTCAACAATGGAAACTCCTCCTCCTCCTCAGCCTCCCAAGGAATCCTTCGCCAGACGTTACAAGTTCGTGTGGCCACTCCTCTTGACTGTAAATCTTGCTGTCGGAGGTATGGTTCCTTCTTTTTGTCTCCTTGTCTACCATTTCATTGCTTGAATCGGACGCGGAAACTAAACTTTGTTTAACTAAGCGGAACCCTAGATTTCTAGGTTTCTGTTCGAGCTGCTGCTATGTGCTTTTGCTTTCTAAATGCTGTTATATTGGGACAATACGGAGGGGAGGGCGAGGGCGGGGGATTATTAACTTAATTGTCTAGAAGACCAACGGTTTCTATTGGTTCCTTCCTGATTTTGAACTGTAGTTCGTGGTTTTTGTAATTTAATTTTTCTTCCCTTGTATTTAAAAAACCGTTCCTTTTTCTTCTTTTTCTCTCTGTTATTCCTGTTCTCTTCTTGGATGCGTATCGTTGACTTGATTTCTTTGTCAGTTTAGTTCGTCGTTCACTTTACTAGATTATGCTTCATTTTGGACTTCGATTGTTTATGTTGGTTATAGAAAGGGAACGAAAATTTTTATTCACTCTTCACTGAGAAGTTTACTGGGTGGAATAACTGCTAATTCTTTTCTTTTCTTTTTTTTTTTCCTTTTTGTTTTCCACTGAACTTAGATGTTCATGAATATGAATGGAATAAATAATGAATGCCGGGTTATTCTTAATGCCATTTCTCTAGAAACAGAACATTAATAAGGTTTATCAACTTTATTTGGTGATTACTTACATTTCTACCATCTCATTCTGCAATTTAGCATGTATATACTACTGCACCAGATGCTTTACTGCCCAGTAATCCTCAGTTTCTTACTACTTATTTTGCTGATAAATAGAAGTTCAATTTAATAACTGCAAAGATTATTTACGTTTGGCTACTCGGTTTTTAAATATATTAGCTTGCTGTACTTAGGATGAAAATATTGCATACTTTTGTTGCTTTCAAGATATCAATTGTTGCTTCTATTTCACATGCATAGAAATTATGGATTAGAAAGCAGTTAAGGAGGGAAACCAGAATTCACATATTATGGTCTACCTAGCTACACTATCGAGTTTTGCTGAAGTCAATTAAATGTAGTCATGCTTTGGTTCTTTTAACTGGAATCTACATCCATTACACTGGAGAATAATTTGAACTTAGTGTGTTTATTTATTTTCTGCAATACCTTCATTTGATTACATGGATTCCAAAAGAAAGCTTCTTAGCTTACAAAAATAATACCAGATAGCAGCATATTTGAATTAATCTGCATCCGTAGATTTTGGAAAACGAGTGATATTCCCAGGTCTTATATTAGCATCAGCTGGTTATGTCAGTTACAGCAAGGAGGTGACTGTTAGAATGTATGTGTTTGCATGCCTAAAGCTTGATGCTGAGAACAATCTAATTAAGTGGTTAGTCAAATGCTGGTTTAGAAAATTTTGAATCTCTATTTCCTGTAAGAAAAAAAAAAGAGAAAAGATAAAAGAAAACTACTCGTTGAACATAAATGCAAAGTCTCCTTGAAGCATTGCAGATTTTATGCTCCAACAGTTTATTTCTGCTCTACTTTATGATCTGATGCCTAAGTTTTAGAGAGATCCTTCACAGCTAGGGTGCAAGGCCTCCTCAGATCAGCTACTTATTTTTGTAGGAAGATTAAAACATTTCCACAATATCCTGTTCTGAGAAGATTAGAATGTTTTACAAGATATGCACAACCATGCCCTACAGTTAGCTCATACCAAACAGCCCCCGTTCATGTGTTAAGCAACAAATTTGTGAGATCATGTTTATTTGCTGTCTCATATTGTTCATAAATTTCATGTGGTGATCCTTATTGACAAAACTCTTGGTGTCATTCCTCCTGTTCAGTGTGTTTCTGGCCCTCTTCTTATAAAAAAGCAAGTAAACAATAAAAGTTGAAGGATCCTGGTACCTTCTCATCGTACTTGGTTCCTGTATGTTCCTCATTCCTCCCCTTCAATGCAGCTAGGATTAGGGAGTGTACTATCACCTGATATTTATCCAATTCCCAGAAAGATTTATAATAATAATCCTGCATAAGGAGGGCTGGGTTGGATATCGAAGCAAAAAAGTTCCTTATGGAAGGCGGAAAATCAAAAAGTAAGAATTTGCTGAAGGTAAGAGAAGGTAGAAGGGCGACATTAATCCTTCTTGAGGAAGCTGTTCACTGGTTGAAAGGCTTCATCAATGGAGCACTTCAGTCCACGAAAACCGTAGGGTGGAGGAATGTACTGGAGTTGGAAAAGAAAAAATATGAAGTGGAACTCAGATGGAATAAAAAAGGGTGGTTCATTACCATCATAGAACATTTCGGTGACCGAAAGCAAATGGTATGTATACCGGAAGGGAAACAAGGTCAAGGATGGAAGTCATTTGCGATGGAGTTGCAGAAGTTCTTGGGTGCGGCTAATCACCTGCAAGTGAAACAAGAACAAGAACAGAGCAACAAGATGGGTACCACTGAGTCATCGTTCCAGGCATTGAAACAAAAATCAACCAGTTGCGGCAAGGCAGTAATGTTTCCAAACAGGGGACTGAAAGTGTGGGTTGAGGCTGAACTGGAGGATTAGTTGAAGAAAATGGTGGTTTCCGCCAGTAAGGATGTTCAAGACTGGAGGAAGCTGCTAAGAGTGGTAGTGTATAACTTGTAGATAGATTCGGAGGTAACCTTGGAGCCATTTGCAAATAAGAAGGCAATACTAAGCGTTGGAGATGGAGTTGACAGGGGATTTGCAGCTTTCGAGTGGGAAGAGGGGTTGATCTATGTCCAGAAATGGAAACCCTTGTGTAATGAGGTGGAGCCATTCAGAGGGTGCTTCACGCTGAGAATGTTCGGACTCCCGTTTCATCTTTGGAATAGATTAGTCATAGAAAACCTGGTAAAAATGTTGGGAGTAGTGTTGGAAGATTGCAATCTACAGGATCTTCGAGCAGTGGAGGTGAAAGTTAAAGGGGTGGCACCAGAATCAATTCCAAAGACGTTTGAAATACTTGTTGACAATGTCTGGTACAGAGTATGGTTGGTCTCAGAGCTGGAGGTGGAGCTTTGGGGAAGAAGAACCGAGGTAGAAGATGAAGGGGATGTGGCGGGGTCGATCCCATGCGGCAGACAGGTGTTGGCGAACCTGAAGGTGGAACGACAGTGGCCTAATGAGGTAACTGAAAAGCAGCAGCTGGAAAACCAAGAGACAAGAAAGCCATTTCAAGAAAAAAATTTAAAATTTTTTGAAGTGTCTCGAAGTGGGGAGGCTCGAGCATCCTTTGCCGACGTGGTCAAGAAGAGGGTTGGACCACATAATGGCTTATCGCGGGCTGGAGGGTCTGAACCGATTGGAGGAGGGGCCGGGCTGGTTCTAGGTTCGGTCCTGGGGCCACGTGATTGTTTAAGTGAGCACATGGCCCAGGACAAACTAAAGGGGGACTATAAACAAAAAAAGAGTCTATTTCTTCCTTCTCGAAGAAGACCTGCGCAGGAGACCCTATTCTGGCTTGGCGGAAAACGAAACCTCTACAATGGGTCCCTAGATCGGTGTCTGAGCATTCAAAAGGAAGCAACTTAGTGAAAGACCAACCGAATCCCAGATATCTAAGAGAGGGTAGCGTGGAAAAGGAAAGGGTTGATGAGGGTTGGGTCAACTACCAACTGGGAGACCCAGATTTGGAAGAGGACTCGGACGACCAGTCCAGCATAGGCAGTACGGAGGTAGACCAACTTTCAGAGGCAGACTTGGCTGCAACCCTGCAACTTAGTACATTGTTTTCAGAAGACACAAGGGAAGGATTTAGACTGGATCGGCTTATACACCAGGAGAACAAGGGTGGGGAAGGCAATGACGATCTAGACTTAGAAGTTCTTGAACCAAAGCTTGACAATGGGCGAGAGTTTAGTAAGGAACTACCCATGTCTCCTCTGAAGCAAAGCAGGAACATAGCAAGGAGGGACGAACAGCTGGGTGCAGAGAGGGACCACTGTAAAACGAAAGAGACGGGATGGTTCACTCCATAGATCTGAACCAAGGAGCTTTCCAACAACCACACCTTCCAGGATCCAATAGCTTCTAACTCCAGTCCGCTCCATCTAAACCAAGGTAACAGTGTCTTTTCAGTTATTGGTACTAATGGTTGCTCTGTGTCCTATGTGCCAAATTCCATTCCCATTTCAGAGGTTGTAGTCTGTGTAGGAGAAGGGGGGTCGGGTATTAGTTGTAGAGGTAGAGAGGAGTTAGAGAGGGAGGTCGAAAGAGAGAAGGAAGTAGACAGTAGCCTCAGGTCCTTAGGAGACAGTGAGAATATGTTGCCTGAGGGGGAGGAGAATGAACAGTTGAAAGGAAGGGATACTGAGACTAGGTTAGGGTACAACAAGGAGGAAGAAGGCACAGATCGGGACACAGCCAGGGAGATAAAATGAAAGAATCAGAGAAAAAAGAGTTGGCAAGTGAGGATTCTGTGGCATTATTTGTACAGAAACTGGGGTGTAAACTGAAGGACCCAAATAAGCTGAAAGCATTCCTAGAGAAAAAGAGAGAAGAAGTCAAGGCCGAGAGGAGGAGAATGAGTGAAGCTGGAAGCAAGGTGAAGGAAGGGGGAAGTGACAAAGGCATTAGAACTAGAGGGGCTAGGAGGGGAGGAAGTAGGTGAGGGAAAAGGAGCGAGGGGTGGACATAAAAAGATTAATGAAAATTATAAGTTGGAATGTGAGAGGACTGGGTAGTGCAAGGAAAAGAGCAGTAATAAAAGGAGTCATCCGAAAAATGGACCCCAATGTGGTACTATCACAGGAAACGAAAAGAGCAGAATTTGATACCAAATGGGCAAGGAGTGTGTGGAGGAGTAGGGGGATTAGTTGGGCGGTCCTACCATCTTGGGGATCAGCAGGGGGTGGTGACTTTGTGGAAAATTGAGGTAGTGGAAGGCCTAGAGGAATTGGTAGGACAATTCACAGTCTCATTGAAATTTAGGCAAGTGGAAGATGGTTTTGAATGGGTATTAACCAATGTGTACGGGCCAAATGACTACAGAGAAAGAAGATTATTATGAGAGGAGTTGGCAG